AATAAAATATAATTATAGAAAAAAAAAAGAGTCCAGAATAAAGGTTGCATAGTAGAGTGTACTCGGGGGTGGGGGTGGGGGATTGTATACCAATGAAGGAATTTTTCTTTTACTTTTCAAAGAGAAGAATGAACTGGGGGAAGAGGGGTGGGCAGAAAAATGCAACAATGAATAAATGGAAATCCAAAATCTCTGTAAATGTTCATTAAAATTAATTTTTAAAAAAGGTATTTAACGCCTTAAAAACCTGAGGGAGGGTCGCTCTAAGTCAACCAATAGCATTGCATACTAGCGAAAATAGCCCAAGGATCCCACACTATTGCTCCCACCCTGGAAAAGTTTAGGAACAGGTAAGGTGATATGAAAAGCAACTCGGAAGCCAAAGCACATAAAGAAAATTGGAGGTTGAGAAGAAATTATGCTTAGTGCAGACTGAGGGTCTGAGAGGGATTGTCACAGAGGAAACAGGGGTTCTATAGGGCTGAAAGCAGGTTTGTACAACAGTGGGAGGTGAGAGGAGTGGGAGATGAGAGAAAGCATAAAGATGGGGGAGGGTCACATTGGATGGACAAAGACAGGAAGTCTGGTAGGAACAGCAAACCCAGAGATTTCACACTGAAATCTGTACTGTGTGGTCCCAGGACGGCATAGGTTGAGGTCCCAAGGCCAGAGACTAGCATTCTAATTATGCTAGCAGATACACTTAGGGGCTAAAGGAATTCAGCTGAGGGAAGGGACAAAGTGAGGAATAGAACAAGCCCAGTGCAGCCTTCCCTGACTGCTACTCCCAGAACAAGCCTCTGTGTGCTTTTGATATTCTTTCTACAACCACTTACAGCAAGTCTTCCCTGGCTTCTAGCTCCTACTCCCTTACAGGCCCCTCATTTTGACCTAACAACCACAAGACCCATACATGATGGAAGAGGTGGGGACTCAGCCTCCTGGGCACATCATGAACTCCAGACCTTCAACCTCAGTATGCAATATTTGCTCTAAGCCTCAGCCTCCTTAACATTCGTAGCCAGTAGGAAACTGGGAGGGCATCTACTTTGACTTTTTTTGTTATTGTTGTTAGCTTTTAGCGTGGTGAAGTTGGATCCTGGTAGGTAAGTGTTGTGATTTACTTGAAAGCTGGGGGTAAACTGTTTAGGTGTTTCTGATTGTGTTAGCAATCAAGTGTAAGCTGATTAACTGTATCTGATCTCGTTTACAATCAGCTTGTGTGGGAAGTCTCTTTGTGTAATAGCAATCAGGATCTGGTGGGCAGGCCTTTGTACTTAAAAGTTGGTTGGGCTCATGGGTCACAGGCCCTTGGGCTTGCTATTGATTGGGTTCGGAGAGAACATTGTTTTAAGTGGTGCAGCACTAGTCTGTCAGTTTACTGTATTGCAATTACTTGGAGTTGCTATGATACTGAAATCTTTGCCACTGGTGTGTCAAATTCCAAAATGGTTTCCCATCGTGGATGGCATTTGGTGGAATTCCCTGATTAAGACAAACTAAAAAGCAGGGTGGCCAATCTACTTCTTAAACAAAAGGCTTTTGAAACCCCGTGAACACTAAAAAAGAGCATAGTTATACTAGTGTAGTGGTAGAACCCAGATTGGAAGTCAGTTGAAATGAGGAAAATTAATGACAAACATTGTTTAACAATTGGTACATGGAATCTAGGTAACTTGAATGTTGAAAAACTGGAAATTGTTAAAAATTAAATGGAATGCGAGAATATTGACATACTAGGTATTAGTGAGATGTAATGGACCAGCTATGGCCATTTGAATCAGATAAGCATATGGTATAAAATGCAAGGAATGAAAAACAGAAGAAGAATGGTATTGCATTCATAGTAAAAAAGTGAATTTC